AATTCAAGTATATAACCTGCGTTTATGTCTCTTAAAAAATCTATTTGCTATGAATAAGTCATTAACTGTGCAAAATTCAATCATTCTTTCTCCAGCTTCATTTCTGTCACCGAGTCCATGTTTTTCAACTACTGAATCTTCTTCTCTGTTCCCAACTTTTGCATTCCAGTCATCCATTATTATCAATTCATCATTAATTGTGTGCATAGGACCATTTTTTATATGTTGAACTACTTGCTGAAAAGTCGGCAGTTCAAATTCACCAATAATTCAGGGAGAAAAAGAGAGACTGTCTTCTCCTGTAAAGATTAGAACTCAACAAAGAGTCACTATAAATCAGAAACAACTCAACACCTCTCTCTCTCTCTCTCTCTCTCTCTCTCTCTCTCTGTGTGTGTGTGTGTGTGTGTGTGTGTTGAGAGAGAGGATGAACTATGGTTTTAGGTGCTGTAAAGACAATCTTTCCTCATCATCATGAGAATGATGTTGCCTATTGGTCTAGTGATGACAGTGTTGAGGACTTTTGGTTCTTGATGTTGAGATGTAATCTATATTGAAGGCTGATGCTGTTTATCTTCTTCAGTAAGTGCCTTAGGTCTTCTTCACTTTCTGCAAACAAGATTGTGTCATCCGTATAACACAGGTTGTTGATGAACCTTCCTCCATTCCTGATACCACATTACTCTTCACGTAGCCTAGCTTCTTGAATTATTTGCTCACCATACAGATTGAATAGGAAACAATATTAATCATTCAAAACTTCCAACAACAGGATTAAGAGAATTTTTAAAATAATGAAATGTCTCAAGTAATAGTACAGTTTTAAGCAGTACTCTGCATTTGTGGTGTGCTAGCCTGGAATTGGTTTTTGCCTAATTTTTAAATGTTTGGGATGAACAGTGCAGAGGTTATTGTCTTCAAAGAGGCCAATCTAACAAGCCTCACTTGCCTCCTGAAAAGTGCTGATAGCTACTCTCTGGAAATGCAGATCTGTTTGGGAAGTCCTGAACAATTTCTTGCATCAGACGCTGGATAAAGATGTTTGTGAATCAGAAGTTCAGCAGAGGTACAATTTCATCAAATGCACCCACTCTGTAACGACTCTTCACTCATTTCTTCACTTGTCCAGTAGAGAGCGCACTTTCAAGAGATGGTTTTTGATAGCTGTTGTCTGGATACTTCTGTCAATGGAGCTGTCAACAATCCCCTTTGGATGAGCCATAGTACAGAGATCTCCTCACTTACGCCTTTTCCCCTTCGGCTGGAACTTGGAAAGCTAGAGGTAATGTTAATATGAAGAAAGTGACAGCTTCACTAATTATATTTTAAAAGCGGTTAGGAGCACTGTCAGTTGATAATGTTCTGTGAAAGTAAAACAGCTATTAAAAAATTATACTGAATTAAAGCTTTAAAGAGAAGGTCAAGAAGAAAAGAAATGTGTTGATGCCTTCAAAACAGTTTTTCTTTTCTGATTTCAACTCAAATTTACACCCTGTGGTTCTAGAAAATGAAAAACATGAAGTCAAAAGTAATGTCATCTTTATCGTAAACTATTCAAAGCATTAAAAAAATTACTTCATAAGAATGCACTGAAATATGTGAAAGATAATCTAATACCACAGAGAGTCTTAACATGAATGTGTGTGTGTGTGTAAATTTGATGTTTAAGTCATGATTTCCTCAGTTAAATTTGACTTTCAAAATACTGTATCATATACATATGATAGAATGAACTTGGAACAAATACAATTTCATTTATTACAAAGCATGTGCATATTTTATAAGAAAATAATTGAGCTATAATTTTTGTAGTTTATGTCCCATATAAATGTTCTAATATCATCTTTGCTGTGACAGAGTGTCTTCCCCCTTT